ACCGGCAGCCAGGCGGACCTCAAGATTCGCGGACGCGAGTTTAGAATGGTGGAGGTTGATCTGGATCAGCTTCATACGAACCCGTCCGTTTTACCTCCACCATTGTGACATCAACGTCCGCCTACTCGATCTCCTCACCCTCGGTGTCATCGGCGAGAAGATCCTCTTCATAAAACAGCGGCCCCAAACCGGTTAGCCTCTCCGAGTCGGATGAGCATTGGCTGCTGGGCAACCCTTCTTCACCACCGCTGCGCATTCCGAACTTGTCGATCTCCTCATTAAGGTCCAAGCCCGGCTCGTCGCTGCGGTAGATTCGAACAGTTGCGTCAACAAACCCGAATCTGACTATCCAGTCCTTCTGTGCCAATGGGGCAAGCGATTCGGCGTTGAGGATCAGCAACACCTGCCTTCTGTTCTCTGTCGGCTCTTCGATCTTCCCCACCTTCCAATTGTATGTCGGCAGGTCCTTATTGCAGGATCTAAAGATCCGCTCTATTTTTTGGGGCTCGGCCGGTCTAGCCGGGATCCAAACCCGAGTCCTAGGTCTGCTAGGAATCTCTTCCTTGCTGACTGCCTCGAGTTTGGCTCCCGGCCAAACCTCACCTACCTTGCTGACGGCCAACCTGTAGAGCTGGGCTGACCTATGGTCCTCGCAAGCGATAAGCTTTGTCCTACCTTGATACCAACCAGAATCATGGCAGAGAGGAGGGGGTCCAGGCTTTTTCTCTAAGACCTGGAGGTAGATTTCGGCAATAGCCTCCTCAACCTGCCTCCATTTCTCCTTCGGGATAGTTCCTTCCTACTCCCCTCCCCTCCCCTCTGTCAATGATGGCCAGTACCTCACCGTCTCCCTTAACAACATCCCTGAAGGAGCGGTATTTATGGCCACCTGTTCTCTGTCGTTTGGCGACCCCCCTGCCTGTTCAGCAGATCGTTGCCTCTTTGGAGCAGTGCCTGCCGGTTTACCCAAGCTGGCTACATTTCCGCTTGCCCAGTCCAGCGACTTAAGTTCGTCCTCCGTCAGCTGTTCTGTCGTAGTACGCCTGCTTCGAGAGGCGGATATTTCTAGCCGGCCCCACCCGTAGTTGCAACCTTTTTTGAGCTGCTGGGTATATCAGCAGCATCCTGCCGGTTTAACCTTGAAGCAGGTGCCGCACCCCGCCCTTGGGTTGAGGTGTGCCTATTTTGGGGTCTAAATTCCCTAGGCGGAGCTGACGTCGCAGCTCCAGCCGAGAAACGTTTGGAGACCGGTTTTCCCCAGGCACACACCCCCCCCTTTTTAAAATAAAAGATTAGTTAAATCGATTTTATGAATTTTATTTTAAAAAAATTGGCGGTTTTTGGCGATTTTTTTTCAAAAATTGCGCTATTTTTAAACAATATGAACACCCTGCTGATCACTAGCTTACCTTCACCCAGCGCTCTTTGCTGGGTTCGGACTCCAAAAATGGGAGTAAAAATCAAGTTTTCGTTGTAGATGTGCATTTCTTATCTTTATAAAAAACAATTAATTTCTCCTCGTATCATTGTATTCTGGGACTAAATAAGGGGCTAAAGCGGCCTTTACAAGGGTCGATTTCAGTAGAGTGGAAAATCGACTAGCCAAAGCACTTACATTTTACGGTTGAGATGTCATTTACACGGGTCAATTTTGGTTGAACGACAAAAATCTACCAGAAAATCGACCCGTGTAAAGGCGCCTTAATCCAGCGAGCAATTATCATTAAAGTTAAAATCCCTTGGTTAAAATTAATAAAAAGTTATTTCATTCTTTCTTTACCGGAACAATTGTTACATCGGTGGAAAACGACGCAATTACAGAACTTTAGACAGAGCAATATTTTTCGATCGGGTTCAAATCGGGCGATTGTGAGGGCCTATTCACGAATTCAAGTGTATTTGCAAGGTGCTGTAGCTCACCAATGTAACAATCGTGTCGATAAAAAGGTTAAATATAACTTTTAGTTTGCTATTAAAAACCTCACCTCCTTTCTATTTGAAGATTAAATTTGTTGATGCAACAAAACGGAGCAGATTTTCAGTTGAGCTACTGCGCGGGCAAAAAAGTGTCCATGTCTCATCTCGATTGATAAACCTGCCGACTTTGCTTCCGCGGATCACCGTACCTATGTCAACTTTTCCAAAGCTGACTGGAAAGGCTTCGCGGATGTTACTGAAAGCGCCTTCACGGCACTACCCATACCAACCGACGTCCATATAGGTGAACGTAAATTCCGCAGGGTTGTTACTGCTGCTGCAGCTCACTTCATCCCAGCAGTATGTATTAAGAATCCACGTCCGAACTTTCCTGCTGAAGCGGCTGTTCTAGCCGATGAGCGTGACAGCCTTCGTCAGGCCGATCCCGGAAATCCCCGTACCAGGGATCTCAATTCGGAGATTCGGCAACTTTTGAACGTACATAAGCGGAATAAATGGGAAGACCATTTGAAGACCTGCAACTTCGCCTCTGGTATGAGTAAGCTTTGGTCAACCGTGAGGTCGTTGTCCAACCCAACGAAGCGTGACGACAGAGTCGAAATATACTGGTGTCCACGCTTCGTCGGACCCGGAGAGATGCGCGAGCTATTTTAGCCGGCAGTTTATTCTGCATCATCCGGTGGATAAAGTGGTGAGGTAAGGGTAGCCACCGGGAAGGCGAAAGCCTTCACAGCCATTGGACCCGACGGAATATGCATGTTGATGCTGAAAAATTTGGGTCTTGCGGGAGTAGGTAGACATATGGAAGATGGGGAGAGTGGTCCCACTGCTCAAACCGGGGAAACCAGCCAACAAAGGAGAGTCTTATGCCCGATAACCCTCCTTTCCACGGTAGCAGAGACACTAAAGGCCTTGCATAGTACAACAACAGCACTTAACGCCACAAACACTCAGATAACTCCTGGCCTTAACCGAAACCGCCCCTGTGAGAGAACTATTCTAGTAGCGTTGGACCTGTCCAAGGCGTTCGACACTGTCAGTCATTCAACGCTGGTAGAAGACATAGATGTCTGCTCTCTCCCACAGGGACTCGAAACGGTGGTCGGCAAATTACCTGAGTGGTCGACATTCGTCAGTAATTTTCAAAACCAGTAAACCACGTAAAATTAAACAGGGGCTACCACAGGGTGGTGTCCTGTCCCCTCTTCTGTCCACTACTGTTTAATTATTACATCTCTAAGCTTCCTCAACCACCAGAGGGTGTCAATATTGTCTCTTATGCTGACGATTGCTCGATTGTGGCGTCTGGGAATGAAATTGATGACTTGTGCTCGAAAGTAAACGGTTATCTCGCCGAACTTTCTCGATTATTCACGCTGAATAACCCCAAAATCCTCGGAGTTACCTTCGACAGTCTGCTCTCCTTCTCGGCGCATACAACCGCAATTGCCAATAAAATACAGAGCCGCAACAATGTAATGAAGTCGCTGGCCGGCAGCATTTGGGGCAAAGATAAAGAAACGTTGTTGGCAACATACAAGGCAATTGGCCGGGCGGTTCTTAACTATGCAGCGCCCGTGTGGTCGCCTGGGACTAGCAGGACGCAGTGGATAAAGCCACAGACATGCCAGAATACGGCACTACGGACAGCGACCGGATGCCTCCTGATGACGCCCCAACACCACCTACATGACGAGGTCCCGATGCTCCCAGTCAAAGAGCATAACACAATGCTCTGCAAGCAGTTTCTTGTGGGAAGAACCCTCGCCAAGGCACGTCAAGAGGCATCTCTACGAACTGACGTACGAAGTCCAGAGGTTCATTAAACAACCTCTGGACCCGTCAGCTTATCGACAGGCCCTGAGCGGCATTCACAGGGAATCGGTCTCAAGTTATGTAGACTCCCACCCTGTGAATGCTGTTCTAGGCACTCAACCACCTGACGTGGACGGGACAGAACTTTGTCTGCCTCGGGAGACCCGCACCACAATAGCCCAACTTCGCTCTGGCTATTGCAGCAGGCTTAACTCATACCTGGGCAGAATTAATGAGGATGTGCCCAACCAATGCCCGGTATGTGGAGAGTAGCCACATGACTCTCGGCACCTCTTTACATGCCCTGAGAACCCCACCCAGCTGACACCCCTGTCCTTATGGACAGACCCTGTGGAAGTCGCACTCTTCCTGGGCCTCCCCTTAGCTGAAACAGACGACTTACGGATGAACCGACCCGAGCGGGGCTTGGTAACCGCTACAACAACAGCAACATCTTTCTGCCGTGACCCAGGGCTCCACTCGGATTGGTTACCGCATCTCGCACATGGGTTGCTCAACCGTCAACTCGATTTTTTACCTTCCTTTTATTAGCTCGGGATGTAACGATGTAATATTGATGCGCCTAAAAGATGCAGCGATTTCTATTCTCAAGTTACATACCTGATGACAGTACGAATGGCAGTTATAATAGGGAGGTTTTAGTTTTTTAAACTATAATTTTATTTCGATAAAACCGAAAGCAAAAAATTTTAAAATCAAAAGCTACAATTAATGGCATAGTAGGCTACTATTAATAACATATTGGATACTTCAATTCTATCCAGTAGTTGTATATGTGTCAAGTTAGCACTACACACCATTTTTTTTTTTAACGAAAGCTAAAATTTTTTTCTTTCCACAACAGAAAAGCTATAATTAATGCCGTTGTAACATTTTTGTTACCTCGATTTAATCGACAATGGGGCTTATTTTGCTGTTTGTTGTTCTTACGGCTTCTTCTACACGCGCCACAACTTCAGCAATTTGATCTATTGGCTGTCTGGAGTTATGTGTAATCCGAATATTATTTTATTATGTTACATAAACATGTGTCGTGCTAAGATTCATATTTAGGATATCGATCAAATATTACTAAAACCAGAAACATAAAAATTTGTTACCTGTCCGCTTCAGTTGCTATGCCCATTTTGCAAAGGTTTCACACATTATTTTACTGTTTATTTAATTTAATTAATATTATACGTAACTATTCGAAACTAAATAGCATTTCATTCTTTTATTTTCAGCAGTACTTAACTTAAAGGATATCAACGCTCATTGTATATCAAAAGTAATAGCGACGTCTGTCCCGACAAAGAACATGAAAATGGTTTTGTCGCAGAGGCAGCGCGAGGAACTGTAAGATTTAAACTTTCATAATTTACTTTTCGAAGGTTATGAGTATATTTAACTTCAGGAACCAAGCGATTGCCGATTACTTAGGTAGCAATGGCTACACTGAGTCCTTGGACGCATTCCGTAAAGAAGCTGACGTGTCTACAGAAAGCGAGAAAAAATTCAGTGGACTTTTGGAAAAAAAATGGACTTCGGTTATTCGCTTGCAAAAAAAAGTAATGGACCTAGAGGCCAAGTTATCAGAAGCTGAAAAAGAGGCTATAGAAGGAGCTCCTACAAAAGCAAAACGTAGCCCTGGAGAATGGATTCCACGTCCACCAGAAAAGTTTTCATTGACTGGCCATCGTGCAAGCATAACACGGGTATGTAAATTGTAATCAAAGTAAATTTTTGCATACAAATTAAAAATATTAAAAAAAATTTACTCAGATTGAGGCAGTTTTTAATGAAAAATTATTGTGCAAAAACAACAATAATTTATAAATGGTAGAAATTATGGCTATTTCCTCATCAGACTTCTTCACTGGGATTCGATACAACGACCCCAGCTTCCAAAGCCAGTGGTGTACACACTGCGCTAAGTTCGCCTTATAAACTGTTGTTGCTTCCATATGCCAACCCATCCACAATCAAGGGAGCTATTCCGCTGCTATTCGCACTTTTTATTGAGCTTGAGTCCGTTTTTAATGGCAAATTTTTTTGAAATAACAACAACAATTTATAAATGGTAGAAGTTATAGCTGCTATTTCCGAGATCACCACATTTCCTCAACATTCCTCTTTCCTGGGGTTCGATCCAACGGGCCCCAGCTTCCAAAGCCAGTGGTCTACACACTGTGCCGAGTACGCCTGAGTAGCTTAACACACACACAACCGCACTCAACACAACACAATAGACCACACCACAGACACATCCGCACGACCACCCCCACGTCGCCGCCAACAACTCCTGGTTCCTCCAACAATGTCCTCGGTGTGTCAGACCAGGATATTCCGTAACGTGTCATCAGTTAAGTGTAACACCTACCTTGGATGTTGACGCTTTAGGGCATGTTCAGGACTGCGGACCACGCGAGATTGGATGAGAAACTATGAGGGCCGGTGTTGTGCTGATCGGGCTTAGTTCCTACTGCGACGCCACCCACTACCACCTTAGAGCTACACCCTCCACAACAGCACACACAGCAAATGGCAGGAAGGCCACTTCCCATACACCTCACATCCCAATAAGTCTCCCTAGGAACACGGAAGATTCTACAGTGTAACTGTAACGGACTACAGCGTCACATCCCAATAAGTCTCCCTAGGAACACGAAGATTCTACAGTTTAACTTTAATGGACTACAGAGTAAGTCGAAGAAATAACCGTATTTTATTGGCTGGAGTGGAATATTAAAAGCCAAAGCCAAGTCGCACAGCAATTCGACACAGGGATACCATCCTAGAATGTCAGGGTATTGCTTTCCGGCCAGGCGATATCGAGCTCGAAATGTTTCGTGTTTATATACCCCCTGTCACTAGCTGCCCGGCAGGATATCACCCTGAAATAGGTGCGCTCCTCAGAGGTGCAAACTGTATGGTAGTCGGTGACTTTGGAATTCAGGCCTGTCGAATGATAGTAGGGGAACACACTTGGCTGAGCATATAGACAATTCGACATTCTGCACAATGATCGACGACGCACCCACCAGGATTATGGGCAGCTGCTGTTGCTTGCCTGACATAATAATAGTAAGCGCTGGTCCCATAAACGGCATAACGTGGCGACCTATGCTGACTTTAGCATCAGACCATCTGCCCATAGTCATCTCCATTAATAAACCTGCCGACGCTACATCAACTTTTCCAAAGCTGATTGGAACGGCTTCCGTAGGGTTGTCACTGCTTCTGCAGCACGCTTGAGGTCACTATCTAATCCGACAAAGCGCGACGACAGAGTCGACATCTCTTTAGCAACCGCGGCTCGTCTGATCCGGAACGATACGCTAGCTACTTTTGCCGACAACTCACGCTGCATACTCCAGCGGACAAAGCCAAACGTCGAGTGACCAAAAGGCTGCACAAGTTGCGCCTCTTGTTTTAACCAGCACTGGAGTGCAGGTAGCCATCGGGAAGGCGAAAGCCTCCAAAGCCATGCAAGCTAGCTGAATATACATACTGATGCCGAAAAAAATGAGTTCTGCGGGAGTAAATTACCTTACCAAGGTCCTCAACCTGTCTATGGCAACTCTTATCATTCTAGACATCTGGAAAATGGGGAGTTTGGTCCTACAGCCTAAACCGGGGAAACCGGACAACAAAGAAGAGTCTTATCTTCCGATAACCCTCCTTTCCCGGGTTCGAAGACACTAGAAGCATTGCTTCTCCCACTGTACACGAACCACCTGACCCCAGCGAAGCTTCAGCATGGATTCCGTAAAGTGCACAGTACAACAACAGCACTTACGTACCTAAACCGAAACCGTTCCTGTGAGAAAACAGTCGTAGTAGCGTTGGATTTGTCAAAGGCGTTTGGCACCGTCAATCACACCACGCGACTAGACGACATTCATTCCCACGACAGCCGGTTCTACGTACCGGAATGACACGGGTTTCACCCGCCCAAGGGCTGTTATTTCGGCGATCTAACCCCGTTTAGGTCGGCGAAGTATCTTAGAAGTTGTCCGTCCATAGGGCTACATTCACTACGTATTCTCTTACTCAGGGCTGGCATCGAGTCAAATCCTGGGCCAGAAACATACACCTGCTGTGTATGCCGGAGTCGATTACACCACAACTCCACCTCAGTCAAGTGTAATGCCTGCGAGGGGTGGAGTCACCTCACAGTCTGCTCGGGACTACGGACACATAGACAGTGGACCACGTCGTACGTGGCCCCCTGTTGCTCAAACAGAGCAGCCTCCACGGCTAACCACAGTCCGCCCGAGCAGCCTCACACACTCACACAGCAGCCACACACAGTCACCACAACACAACAACATAATAACACCGCAGACCGTACCACAGCCACTTCAGACCACATAACACACACAACCGCACCACCACCCACACGCCGCCGCCAACAACTCCTGGTTCCCCCTACAATCTGCACGGTATGTCAGACCAGGATATTCCGTAATGTGACATCCGTCAAGTGCAACATCTGCCTTGGCTGGTGCCATTTTAGGGCATGCTCAGGTCTGCGTACCACGCGAGATTGGACGGGGAACTTCGAGGGCCCGTGTTGCGCTGCTCGGTCGCAGACCCCAATTGCGACGCCCCCCACCACCACCACAGGGCGGCAATCACCTCAGCAGCACACACAGCCAACGGCGGCAAGAACATACACTTCACTTACACCCCACATCACGACACGTCTCCCGAGCCACATGAAGCTCCTTCAATTTAACTGCAACGGGCTACAGAGCAAGATTGAGGAGATAACCGTCTTCATGTGTCGGAATGGTATATTAATAGCTGCGGTCCAAGAGACGAAGCTGCACAGCAATTCAACTTTGTTGAATTGCGCCGGGTACAACGTGCACCGTCGAGATCGCGAGCGAGATAATGGTGGTGGCTTAGCGTTCATCACGCACCACACCGTGCAGTATCGTCTTACCGAAGCAGACACGACCGCAGGGATACCACCCTAGAATGTCAGGGCATCGCTATCCGGTCAGGCGATGTCGAGCTCGAAATGTTTAACATATACATACCCCCTGTCACCTGCTGCCCGGCATGATATCACCCTGATATAGGTGCGCTCCTCAGAGGTGAAAACCGTATGGTAGTAGGTGACTTTAATGCGCACCACGATATTTGGCACTCAAGCCTGTCAAACGATCGTAGGGGAACAGACTGAGCAGATAGACGATTCGACATTCTGCACAATGAACGACGACGCACCCACCAGGATTATGGGTAACTGCAGTAGCTCGCCAGACATCACAATAGTCAGCGTTGGTCTGATAAACAGCATAACGTGGCGACCTATGCTGACTCTAGCATCAGACCATCTACCCATAGTCATCTCGATAGATAAACCAACCGAATTTGCCTCCGCCAAACACCGGACCTATATCAACTTTTCCAAAGCTGATTGGAAAGGTTACGCGGAGTTTACCGAAAACACCTTCGCAGCGCTCCCCACACCAACCGACGTCCATCTCGGTGAACGTAAGTTTCGCAGGGCTATCACTGCTGCTGCAGCTCGCTTCATACCGGCAGGATGTATATCGGACCCACGTCCCAACTTCCCTGCCGAAGCGGCTGTTCTAGCCGATGAGCGTGATAGCCTTCGTCAGGCCGATCCCGGAGATCCCCGTATCAGGGATCTCAATGCGGAGATTCGGCAACTTGTAAACGTACATAAGCGGAAGAAGTGGGAGGAGCATCTGAAGACTTGTAATTTCACCTCTGGTGTGAGCAAGCTTTGGTCAACCGAGAGGTCATTGTCTAATCCGACGAAGCACGACGACAGAGTCGAAATTTCCTTCGGCGACCATGCCTCGTCGGACCCGGAGCGATGCGCGAGCTATTTCAGCCGGCAGTTCATACTGCATCCTCCGGTGGACAAAGCCAAGCGTCGAGTGACCAGAAGGCTGCACAAACTGCCAACAACTTGTGCCCCCCTTGCTTTCACTTGCGGTGAAGTTCAGGTGGCCATCGGGAAGGCGAAAGCCTCCAAAGCCATGGGTCCCGACGGAATATGCATGCTGATGCTGAAAAATTTGGGTCCTGCGGGGGTAGCGTACCTAACGGGGGTCCTCAACTTGTCAATGGCCACTCTCATCATCCCAGACATCTGGAAGGTGGGGAGAGTGGTCCCACTGCTCAAACCGGGGAAACCTGCCAACAAAGGAGATTCGTATCGTCCGATTACACTCCTTTCCCCGGTAGCGAAGACACTCGAGGCCTTGCTACTCCCGTACTTCACAAACCACCTGACCCCAGCGAAGCATCAGCATGGCTTCCGTAAAGTGCACAGTACAACAACAGCACTTAACGCCATAAACACTCAGATAACTCGTGGCCTTAACCGTAACCGTCCATGTGAGACATCGATTCTAGTAGCGTTGGACTTGTCAAAGGCGTTTGACACCGTCTGCCATTCCACGCTCTCTCCCACAGAGGCTCAAACGGTGGTCGGCAATTATCTGAGTGGTCGACATTCGTCGGTAATGTTTAGAGACAAAACGAGTAAGCAGCGAAAAATAAAACAGGGGGTTCCTCAGGGTGGTGTCCTTTCCCCGCTACTGTTTAACTTTTACATTTCAAAGCTCCCTCAACCACCAGAGGGAGTCTCGATTGTCTCTTATGCCGACGATTGCTCGATCATGGCCACTGGGAATGGAATTGATGACCTGTGATCGAAAGTAA